GGATTCCTTTCGATCCAAACATCATTTCATGTGTTTTGGGCCCGCCAAGCTTCCTGGACCGATCATCTTCCAAAGTAATCCATTCTTAGAACGATGTACGTTAAAGGATTTAGGTCTTACTTACACGAATAAGCTAGCAGTATCGCCTCATTTTCAAAGGCAAATTGCGTAAACATTTAAATCTGGGGAAAATAAAGCCCTTTAGTCATCAAAAATGTTGCCCTTGGCATTTGAGGTTCTTCCTCTGCAGAGTCAAGCATCAATTCCAAATGATGCCGAATCTCCTCCGTTTTTCAACTCAGACGGTGGTCTTCGAGGTCGCTGCTGATGATCATCGCGTGTTCTTACGTTGCCTCCAGCTTGTCGGTGGACTCTGCAGTCTGATGGACTGCATCTCGGTGATGCTGCCGTAACTTCTATGGTCTCCTTCTCGTTTCGACCCTGTCCTCCTCGATGAGCTCCTCCTGTCTCACCCCATGAGGTGATATGATTTTTCTCCCACGACAAGGGGCGTTCCCTTCTCTTATCAAATCAATGTAACTACATTTTAGTAGTTTTTTCTCCTATATTTTTTTGGAAATCTGTGGCTCGCTGAACTCTCCCACCGATATAGGAAAATTTTTTCACTGCTTAATATAGTTGACTATTATTTTAGAAGAGGGTCCTTGTTATTCAGATCTGACTTACTATGTGTAACATACTATTCATTCCTGTTATTATAGAGTTGCTTACGCGCAGCTGTGATGACCGACTTTGTATTTATTTTTACCACAGCAGTAAGTTTTTAATGAAAGGGCCTTAAATTTACAATTCATTAGTGTATTTAACCGTCAAATGCAACCAATTTCACTAGCAAATGTGGTGAAGGAAAGGTTGGCTTGGTCTACTATACCTCTATTATAATTCAGTATATAAGGGAGATAGGCAGAGCCTTCGAAAACACAATTTACAGATAGGTGCTGTCAGATCATGAATGTGTTTCTAAGCCATATATGTACATTATATAAATCGTTGTTGTCTACCAAATGTATGATCTGCAAATAAAGTAAGGTCGAGTCTTCTTTTAAATGCGTCAACACTTTCAGCAAGAACAACTGACGAGGGAAGTTTATTCCAGCCTTCAACGACCCGGTGGGAGAAGAATCTGGCCCGCGCTTCTAGTTGGCATGGTGTTTCTTCAGTTTGCATGAATGACCTCGGAGATGTGTCGTTTGTGCGAATTCAAAGAAGTCAGCCATCTGAAGAGCACAGTCTACTCCGCTGACGAGTTCGAATACCATGATCATATCTCGTCTATATTGCCTATAATACAGAGGAAGATGATTAGGCCTATGTAGGTGACCTTCATAAGGTAGACCACCTAGGCTGCTGACTAGTTTGGTCGTCCTTCCTTGGACTTTCTCCAGTACTATGTAATCTTTCTTCGTCCAGGAGCATCACGCCTGGACGTAATACTCTAATATCGACCGAACAAATGTTCCGAAGACTCGCCCAAAAAGTTCCTTATCAAAATAGAGGAAGGACCCTCTGATGGCTCTTATGATGCCCATAGCCTTCTTTGCGGTTTCGGCAGAGTGATCTGGCGGTTTAAATTAAGTCGTCATATATGCACCTAGATCCTGAAGTTTGTTCTCTTGCCCGAGTAGGTAACCTCCGATCAAGTGGCCTTACTCAAATAGTTTCACCTTTCTGTGACTAGACCGTAGGTGGACGACTTGGCATTTGTTGAAATTGAGCTGCAGTAGCCACTTTCCACACCACTTTGCAAGCGATCCAAGTCATTTTGTAAGGTGTGTTCATCCTCCGAGCTTTCGACTAACTTCCAAATCATTAGATCGTCTGCAAACATGACTTTCTCACAGGTGAGGCAATCAAGGCAGTCGTTCACAAATAACAAAAGCAGAATGGGACCCAGAACGCCTCCCTGCAGAACCCCACTGGAAACGGTTTTCTATTTTGTTTTGGTGTCTCCTATACAAAGACACCCATTTGATGCAGCTTTGATATTAGTCGTCTGTGTGGAATCTTGTCGAATGCCTTGCTGAAGTCCATATAGATCGCATCGGCCGACGAACCCATTTCAAAAGAATTCTTCCAGCTTTCCATGGATGTTAGCAGGTTAGCGAGACAAGATCGACCAATTCAGAATCACGTTGCGCCGCACTTAGTAAATTTTTCTGCGCAATGTGTCTCATTAGTCC